CGGGGAGAGCGGGGTGGGAGCGGGACCGCGGGGTCCCTGCACAGGTCCCGCAGCTCCATCCCCAGCCGGGGCGGGGGTGCGTGCTCGGACCCTGTCCCCGCGGCTGGCACTGTCACGGGCACCGGCGGTGAAGCTGTCGGCCGTGGGAGCTGTGGGGAAGTGCGGCAGAGTGGCTGCCGAGGGAACATATCACAAAAAGTGTGCGAGTGCAGCTTTTCTCATGGGTCTGAAGTGAGAGAAATATCTAAGAGTTCCTGGTTACGGCCTTTAGCAGGTTTCTGTTCAGTTACATTGGTGTGATCATGGTCCAAAATCACAGAATGCTTTGGGTTGGAAAAAGTCCATCCAGTCGCACCCACTGCCACCTTCCACTATCCCAGGTTGCTCCAAGCCCTGTTCAACCTGGCCTGGAACAGCCTGGTTTTCATGGGGCTCCCTGTGCCTCTTTGGGACCAGGCTCCCACACTTACAGGTGCAGGGTAATTTGCTCTGTCCGGCCTCTGGTCAGTCCTGCCTCAGTGGTGCGACCAATTCCTGTGCTGGTGGTCGTGCTCCCCCCAGCAGTTCAGGGGTTTGCACTGGGGAGCTGGTGTGAGTTGGAGCTGCTGGGCCCGTGTGACTCCTGCCCAGAGCTTGTCCACAGGTACCTTGTGCCTTCCCTTTGGGGAAAATCCCTTCCACTGCTTGAATTGCTGAGTGTGGAATTTCCCATATGGGTGGTGGGATGCAGACTCTCGGTTAAAGCTTCCAACCCCTGGGCAGGAGCAGTGGTGTGGTAGGACCTGTAACTGCAGTGGATGTTCCTGGCAGAAAATGCTATTCTGTACCTCAGTGGGGTGAGATGCATGTGAAGCTATTGATAGATAGGATCAGCTTCTTTTTGGTTACCAAGAGCTGTTCAGCCTGCTAAGGATTCCAGACAGGAAGCATGAATCTAAAACTGATGTGCTTTTTTTATTTTCTTTTTTGTTAGGGAGGGGTTTCCAATATATAATGTGGAGATAAATGCTCTTCTAGCACTGTTGTGTCTCCAAATCTTCATGTTGGCCCTGTCTACTTTTCTGCACTCTCTTGTTCTCCTATAGCAGGGATCCATAACAAAAGCAAAATGCAAATATTGATTTATGCTTGAATCACATAAATTAATCTCTTCCTGCATGACCAGTCAATCTTCACTGGAAAAACACCAGTTTTTTGACTCTTGGCACGAAGTGCTGTTTATGAGTTGTTTTTCTAAAAAAAATTACAAAAAAAAAAACAAAAAAAAAGAAAAGGGAAAAAAGAAAAGTTATCCAGTGCTCCTGTGTCACTAGGGTTGCATACTTGATTTCAGCTTAACTTGAATATGTTCCATTGAACATTGTTATCATAAGTATAATTTTTATGGCACTTTGAATAGGTTACTTTTGCCACTTGGCCTGAACCAGCTAGAATGGGAAATATTTCAGGTTTTGCAATAGTTTTTCTCTTCAGTTCATGAATTTTCATCCTACAAAGGGGAAAATCACCAGCATGGGGTGAACAGTGAGTATTTCCCTCAGAGGTATTCCTGCAAAGCCATTGAGCAAACTTCACTGACACTTTGGATAACCTCAGTTCTTCCTGACGATGCCAAGGGCTGAACCCAGTGCAATGCAGAAATTACCTCCTGGGTGCACATTGCTGCAGGAATAATGAGAATGGCTCTGTTGGAGTGTTTGAATTAATGTGCAATATTCAGGGATGTGGGAACCTTGATGACTTCCATGTGGGTTGGAGTAGGACAGTGTTGGCAGTGGAACTGGAGACTTGGGAACTTTGAATTCAAATCACATGATGTTAATTGAATGGCTTTGGATGGAAAATACCAGGGATAGCAGCAAGTAGCATCCAGAGAAGGAAGTGTCTCCCCCATGTACTCAGAAGTTCAAGTATATGAAAACTAACTACAAAATATGAGAAAATACTTAGTTTTCCATGGAAGATTTCTAGCTCAAGAGGTAAAAGCCCTGAGTATGGTATGGTCTGTGGTGAATTTGGAGTTGAGAGATTAAATTCCAATTTACTTTTTACCTGGCACATAATACTGCTGTGGAGCAGTCTCCCTGTCCTTCAGGGCACACATCCTCTGTATCTGAAGAAGGGCAGCGTCCTTGAGGGAGCAAAACTGAATTCTTAACTAATTGTTTAGTTGACACTGATGGGCAAGTATGTGTCAAAAATATTGGTGCCTTACAATCTGGGCATCATTTAAGCAATAAAAGCAGGTCCTTCCTTACAGCTCTGATTCAGCTAGGGATTCAGCTTTCAGTTAAATCCTGGGGCCAACTCATGAGACACTTTTAAACTGTGTTATCAATTGGTCTGGCTTTATTTCATTTGTTTCTTTCTAAACAGAAGCTCCACATCATTTGTGGAAGAATTTGTCTTTGATTTGATGGGCAAGAGCAGCAGGATCTTGCTGTAAGATGATGAACTCTTGTCTGTGTTTGCTGTGGTACTGTGATGTAACTGTGTCTTTCTCAGTAATCTGAAAAACAAATCCCAGAACCTGCCTTGGTAATGGAAATTACCTCATCACTGCCCTAGGTTATAATAACGTGATGTAGTAACAGAATACTTTCAAAATAATTCTTCCTTTTTTAAAAAGAAGAAAAAAGCAGGCCCTCACCACCTTGGTATTCAGGCTTTTCTGAGAGTTTTCATTTACCGTTTACCTCAGAGAGATGACCCAAATTTCCTGACTGTACCAATTTCCAGTAGCCTGTGTGTCAATGTCTGGAGCAGAGTTACTCAGCCCATGAGGCAGGGATGGGAGGTGGGCTCTAGGACAGGGGAAAGTGGTCCCCAAAGCAAGACCAAACTAAGCACCAAAAGCTTCCAATATTTTCTTTTATTTTTTAAAACAGACTGTGAGGAAAACAAAAGGAACTAGTGAACATTTAAACTTTATTTGTTTTAAATGAAAAATATTGTGGAGATACTGCAAGTAAGAATTCATGGACATTTTTGAGAAATATCAATTAGTTCTCCAGCTTGAACACATTGTGGAGGTGTCCAAGGCCAGGTTGGATGGGGCTTGGAGCAACCTGGGCAGGTGGAAGGTGTCCCTGCCCATGGCAGGGGTGGAACTGGATGGTCTTTAAGGTCCCTTCCAACTCAGATCATTCTGGGTTTCTGTGGTATTATATAGAATGACACAGCTCCTGTAAAAAATAAGCCCACAGTGTTAGTGAGGGGAAAATATCAGCCATATATTGATAGATGTACAGATTTGATTAATTTTGTCATGGGTTTATTATGGGTTGTCAGCAGTGGTGCTTCCTCAGCCGGTGCTGGTCCTGTCTGGACAGCTGGCTAGGGGACACTGCAGCTTTTCTCTCAGAACGTTTTCTTTTCCCAGAGAGTGGGTTGTGGGGATGACACTTCCATCTCAGCTCATGCTTTTGCTGTGTGCTGGTAATTCCAAGACTTCTCAGCATGTAGGGAAGGATGTTTTTGGGACCTGGACTGAGTACAGCTAGAGTAGGAGTCAGTGTGGGAGTGTCCCAGACTCTTTAAGTGATCCCTGGAGGAAAAACAGGTGTTTCCATGATAAAGTCCATGTGATTCCAAACAGATATTCCCCCAGAGCACAGAGATGATGTGCTGGGAGTGCCCTTTGCTCTGTGCAAGGGGCACAGTTATCTGGGGTTGATGTCAGAGCTGGAGTGAGTGGTCCCTGTGGTGTCTCTGAGCACTGGGCTGCTGTCCAAGCTGCACAGCTCTGCTGACAAGCCTTCCCTAATTGTGATGTTTAACCTCCTTCCAGATGAATGGTAGCACTGGTAACTTGGAGAGAAGAATACAGAGCTGTTTTTTCTCCAGATTACTTCAGCTTAGAATGCTGAATGTGTATTTTTCAAAATGTAGCTAAGCCTGCAAACAAAAATCTTTGTCTTTCCATCTTTCCAGCTTCCCAAAATACGCAAGTTTAGGAAGGAGACACAAAATACAGGGTCAAAAGCTTCCACACACACAAGTTTTGAACTATTTGAGGTGTATCAGTCACATCTGTTTTTTTGCAGTTACCCGATAATAAAGCTGACTCATCTTTGATATTCATCTGGTATTTTCTTTAGAATGATTTCAGCATAAATCAGTAAGACTCTAATTTCTTTTCCTACTAGTATTATCAGTGCTCATATCCTTTGCCAAGATGTGCAATTCTACAATAAATTATCCTTTTACATAAAGGTCCTTATTTTCTGTAAGTGGCAGTTCCAGTCACCAAGGGATTACATTTTATTAAACATGCATGAAGGACAGGACAGGACTGATAAGTGGAATATTGGGACAGATGGAGCTGATGGAGTAAGAATTGTATGGACATGTCCAGGTTGTCTCATTCCATCTGCTCCATGGCCTTTGCCAGACCTTTAAGTAGAAAGGTTTGGCCTTACAGTTTTGGTGTGAAGTTACTTTTGATTTGGTGGTGATTTCCCCTCACTCTCACCCCCATTATCATGTCTGTTTCTCAAGGGTAGAGATTATAAATAGGGTTTAATTACTAAAACTGTGTTTCTCATTCATTTAACTTACTGTACTGTCAAGTGGATGCTAAAAATAAATGCCCCCAAGCAGAGATTTCATTTTGTCCCTTTCAGGGGAAACAGAACCTGTGGATGACTGCACTGAACAGAGAGCAGCTCTGGCTGTGGCGTGCACCATCACTTTGCATGCTCCATTCCAAAAACTGTGCCTTTGGACCTCACATGCAAAACTGAAGCTCTATGCAAAGCCAGCAGCTGCTGCCTGATCTGGCAGTCCTGGAAGAAACAACGTAAAACTGCATTTTGGGGAGAAGGTGGTTCTAGATCTCTGGAATGTGACTAAATAGAAACTTTCTGGTTGATCCTCTTGTGTTCTGGTTTTCAAAACTAGCCTATAATTGAGAATTTTAAAAGACT